TATATATATGTATATATATATGTTCACACTCCTGGTATATTCCAGCTCTGAGAGCACAGTGATGAGCATTGTTGAGCGCAATTCTCTGATGACCACACCTAGATTTCCATTATGTTAAAGTGCACAGAGACAAAGACTGCTGAACGCACATGTGACACGTGCTGCATGAGTAAATTATAGCACCTGGTACTTAAAACACAACAGAGACAGAGAATATAGCCTAAATAAAGGGGCTCACCAATTTCCAGCTTTCTCCATAGCTATGATTCACTGCTGCCATCTAGTGGTTATATATTGATGGTGAACTATTGGTATGTTCAAAGCTGGTAGCGTTTTGCTGTTTATGTGATCGTGTTTCTACAGGTCAGGACGTTAAACTGGTTTTGGATGATGGATCAGGATGTTGATCATTGCCATTTTTCATTACAAACATCCTCAATACAATGTGTTGTGAATCCAAAAGTGTCTCGTTGAATAGAAAAGCAGGAGTACTCTTAGGCCACTGTTTCAGGGTGAGAATAGTACTTTGATTTATGTTGTAAATGTTCCTCAGCCTTATTTTGGCTTTAACCTGTGTTATGATCAGACAAAGAAAATTTATTTGCATACATACAGATTCTAGACATTTAGCTGACACATTCGGAGCAACCTGAATGCTGCACATTTCCATTTGAAGACCCCATTATACTATTGCCTCAGCATACAACACATCAGACACACACTGTGTGGATCATTTCCAAGATATAATGACCATTTCAGGACATTTCCCCCGCTCTAGCTGCAAAGTAATGCTTCTTGTCTCATTAGAAACCAGACCCACTGCACCTTTGTGATATTTCATCTGATAGCACATTCAGTATTGTGCACTGTTCTCACTGGTGCTTGGCAGCAGAAGCAGTCTTATCTATTGTGAGACTTTTCCCACTAAATCATTGGACTTGCTACAAACTGCGGCTGCCTATTATCGTTACCAGGATCAATAGTGAAACATTTTTACTTCACATCATCTACTCTGGATCTGTCTGAAGGATCAGATTGGCTATTTGTTACAAACCCAGTTGTTATTGTTAATGACTGACACATGTCACATGATCTGCTTACTTGAACACAGCTGTACCATACCCAGTTCTGAGACAGTAATATACTTGAATATGTTCTGCCGTTTTGCTCCTTTTTAGCTCTTACTTTTACTTAATAAACTGCCACAGAGTCTTCAGGTGATACTCAAGAATATTTAAGATGTGTATCTTTACAAGAACAATCGGACCACGGAGTTTCACTGATTAGTGGACATGGCTGTGTAATGTTACACACATTTTTAGATTCAATACCATTTTTTGATGATTTGATGAATAAACCCATGCTCTTAGGCAAAATAAGAAGGATATTCCTATAGAAACAGTGTATAGACTCATATAAAAAGCGCCTCTCTCAATCATTACGTATTACCCAATAGAAGTGGGTGGTGACAGAGACTCTGCCCTAGCCTGTAGTTTCTTATTTTGCTGTTTTCTGGACAATCCTTGACGTTAACATCTATACAAATGTAGCAACCAGGTGACATATGTTTAGCACTTAATCAAGTGGAAGCTAAGAAAATGTGACACAGCGCTGAAAAAACGCAAATGCGATGTGTACAAAACTCGGACCAAAACAAGAGCCTCTGGTCGGCACCCTATAACTGCTGTCAGGGGGCGTGGCCTTCTATTGTCGTTGAGCCGGGGTGGAGGGGCCAACTTTAAATGTCGCCCGACGACTACAAATCATTGTCCCTTTAGGATGTGTTATAATGAAGGAAATGTTGACGGTTTGATGACAGAAGGGAAACAATAAACAAGTAGCATGAGTAAAACTAAATGTGCAAAACTCAAGTACAATGAAACAGAAGTTGTTAAGGTACTTGATCTCTAAATGCTTTGCAGTAAATGCTCTGATTGCATCTGTAGTTAGAGACGGGACAGACGTTCCTCATTGAAGTCATTTTGTTCATGACTTACTAACCACAATTTGTATTTATTTGAAGGTATGTAATGTCACATGTACAGTAATATAATGCTGTGGTCAATGACACAGTCAAGTATCAAACAGTCAAAATACTTAAACACACTCTTAAAAGACATTATATTGTAGTTTGAATATTGTACCCACATGTATACATATCATCTTAACATAAGCTTGCATTTAACCCTAAGCATACTTTAACATATATTCCTGGTGTTTTTTTCTGTCTCGCCAAATGTGTATTTCGTCTGTCTTGCTTTGTTTAGTATGCCCTTAAAACTACAATACTTTGTTTTTATATTGGAGGATGAACACAGTCTATGAAAAATGTGCTGCTCTTCAGTGTTGTTGATGTGTTCCGTTCACAAGGTGGCTAGTTCACAATGCGTGCGTGACCCCTTGTGGTGATGTTTGCAAATTGCAAGTAGCTGCTACATTTAACATAATGGTGCTGCTGTGAGGAGACATGTCAGAATAGTAGGGTGAAACATAGACTCTGACGTAGCAGATGAACAACTAAAAGCTATTTAGTGCGGGACGCTTTGAGAATAACTAAATCCTAGTTTATTTTGAAGCTGCTATCCTGTTTTTCTACAACAGGCCGTGGCCTTTCGTCATCACGTCAACTCAGAACAGTGGAGCTTTTTAGAAAAGCAAAGGACCTGCATCATTTTATTCCATTCGGCAGACAGGCAGCAGTTAAATGAGACAAATTGCCCTTTGCTTAGCCCTCTGTGCTTGCCTGAAGCTGGTGCATGTTTAATTCCTAACTTACCACAGAGACACAGACTGTGGTCAGATCCTCTCTGAATAGTAATGACCTGATATGCTCAACAATGAGGCATGGCACTTGCGGGACTTTATGCATGTGCACGACTGTGCATGCTAAGTGTTTTCTGCACACGTACGTCGTTTGTGTTTGGTGGAAAAGCACATGCACACATTCTGTACACACGATGGCGCATATGATGTTGGATTTATGTTATTGTAATGAAATGATACAACGGGGGCAGCTATACGCTGTTCTCCAGATGTCAAACTCTCTCTTTTTCTTTCGTCTTTCCATCCACTCAAACCCACGAGCACTCACATGCGCGCTTGCTTTGTTTTCAGTAATAGAGTTCAGAGTTGGATGATTGCGTTTATCAGTTTTGGGGTGCTGCTCCCTGTCCTAAGTCAGTTTTGATCTGTTACTCAGTCTTTGACTCCTCTGCAATGGTTGTGTGCGTAGATAGCGGACCTGAGTAAAGCTCAGAATCAGACTCGGATAGACACAGCCTATCCAGAAAAAGAGGCTTTTAGTATTGGGGATGATTTCAGTTTTTTTTTTGGGGGGGGGGGGGGGTTGTTGCCAAACAGATGTCAACATTTCGGCTATTGGGTTTGACTGATTCCTTCTTACAGAGTCTCTTACAGCATCTTTCCCTCAGACATTTACTGACATGAAAATGCAGGTGTGTGTCTTAGCAATCACAATAGTTTATATTCGTCTCACACTTACTGAGGAAATAAATAATCGTGAGCACACTGTAAACAAGTATTCCTTTTTGGGTAGACTGAAGAAAAGAACACAGCGTACCTTTCATTTCCTGTATCTCGCTGCCAAGAACGTGCAATCATCTGTAAAAACAGCACACCAACACGGACAAAACATTGAGAATATAGATTGCCTGCTATGTGGACTGTTTTCCATCTTTATTAGGACAGACATCCTGAGGACTCTGTATGTTTTTGAAGGAAGATTGTGGCTCATATGCCTCTAAAATGAAAATGGCAAGGATGTTGAGCGCATTGCCTCAGCTGCTCCTGAGCTTATACCGTCAGTGACAGAGAAGGTTAGACAAGATTTTTGAATGCAGGGCACAAATGCGGGACAGAAAGGGCAGCTTATGAATAAGACAAGAAAGAGGGTATGACCTTGTCTGTACTTTTTTTTTCTTTTTTTCACCGACACTCAGGATTAGTTTAGATTAAGTCAACATTGGACTCTGAGGTACAAGATCTATTAAGAGAGAAAGTGGAGGTCAGCGTCAGTTCAAATTCACTCTATTCGAATGTCCCCTCCCCTCAGAAATAGTGGACTTTACAGTAATATCAACAATTAGTTCACTATAGAAATGTTACTGGCTTCAAGGGATGAATATGTGATTTTAGGTTTTTCCTAAAAATCACATATCCACTGTATATTCGCCAGGCACCACCCTGGACTGATTCAGTTGTTCCAATATCAGTTGGCAGTGAGAGAGTCGTGTGAAAGGTTTTGTTATCGCGGTCACAGCGGCATGGTTTGGTAAAGGCGACACAGAATTTGAGGATGGCCACCTTTAAATTCGCTATGCAGGAAAAGCCCTGTCATGTTGCAATGAAAGTCTTTATTTGGGGATCTGAGCTCAGTGGGAGGACAGATGGAGTCAGGGCCCTACGGGTGTGTCGGCACACAGGCACAGATTTGTAGGTCACAGCACACATACACAGTGTAGCAATTCTATTGGATTGACAGAACAGAAAAAATATGCTAGAGCAGTGG